GGGGTGGTGGGGGAGAGGGAAACCTGGGGGGGGGGGCGCTCAGGGAGCCCAGCTGTACCCCAACCAGGCTCCTGGACTGAGAACCCCACCAGGGAGAGTGGCCCAGCCTGGAGTCCGAGGCCTCAGGAAGCTGGCGGCTGCACTACCCTTGGGTTGGCTGTTGCCTTGTCTCCAGGGCCTTAGGGAGAAGGGCAGTCTCTATCCTGGCACAGCTTCTGTTCCCCCTCCTTCTCCATCTCATCGCCCCCTTGCCCTTCTCCTCATACTCCTTCTCTTCCTCCCCCTTCTGTTTCTCCTCCTCCTCCTCCTCCTTCTCTTTCTCTTCCTCCTCCTCCTCCTTCTCCTCCTCCTCCTCCTCCTCCTCCTTCTCCTCCTCCTCTCCTTCCAGATTTGATCGTGGTGATTTTCAAAGCCATGCAAAACTAAAAAGAATGTCATAGTGAAACTCCACGTCCCATCACTCAGACTCAGCAACACTCACCTCAGAGCCAGGCCTGTTCCACCTGAACCTGGCGCCTCCCCGACCCTGACACCCCAGGCATCTGGTCATCTGTAAACATTTCAGGGTGTACTTGGAAAACCTATGGTCTTTTTTTTAGAAAACATAATGACAGTACTATTATCACACCTAAAACAATTAGCAGTTCCCTGGCCAGTGTGGCTCAGCTGATTGGGCGTTGTCCATGCAACAATCGGCTGCCGTTCGATTCCAGGTCAAGGGTGCACATGTGATCCGGCGCCGCTTCATCCCCGTGGGTGCACGGAGGAGGCTGCCAATCAGTGTTGAGCTCTCACAGCAATGTTTCTCTCTCTCTCCCTCTTCCTTCCTCTCTCTCTAAAAATCAACAAACTATTCTTTAAAAAAAAGGATTAACAGTTGTTCCTTAATATCATGAAATAACCAAACAGTTTCAAATTTCCCCAATTGACCCATGAACTGTTCTTTTAAAAAAGCAAAGTTTGTTTGAATTAGAATCTAAATTAGTCCATGTATTAAAATGGCCCACTTGTCTCCTAGGTCTCTTAGTCTCTAAGCTCCCCCATCAATCATTCTCTCTTTTTTCTCCCTTGTGACTTATTTGTTGAAGGAACCAGGTCAGATGTGCTATAGTTTCTCCCAGGCTGGCTTTTCCTGTCATGTTATTTACCGCGTTCTCCTGGCACGTGACTCTAGAAGCCTGATCGGACTCAGGCTGGATTGTGTGGGCAAGAGCAGTTCCTGGGTGGTGGTGTGGGCAGCTCAGGCCCCTTGGCAGGCTCTCTCCGGGGAAGCTAGCTCTCCCCACCTGGTTCAGGGTGTCCAGAGAGAGGCCGGGGCAACTGCAGGGAGCAGAAGCCAGAGGTCAGTTCAGGACCTGCCAGACCAACCCCCTGACTCCTGTGCACCTGCTGCCAAGATAGCCCCCCGCCCACCCACCTCCAATCTCCTCCTAAGGCCAAGACCGGTGTGGGCAGGGGAGGCTACCGAACATCAGCAAGGAAGGGCAGGGCCAGCGCCAATCCAGGTCTCCACGAGGAATCAGGCCGAGCCTGGAAGGAGTCAGACAGCGGGAAGAACCCCTGAAGGTGGTGCCCTCTCTACTCTTCCTCCTCATGCCCACAGTCTCCTGCAAGAGCTCCTCCCCTTGGCAAGCCTGCGGCTCCGTCACTGACAGCGCTCTGCTCTCTGCGCTGTGACCACGGCCTCCCCTTCTTCACTCCCTTCTTACGTGACCCGTTTGCAGGACCTGTCCACCATCTAGGCCTGCGGTCGGCTAACTGCGGCTCACGAGCCACATGCAGCTCTTTGGCCCCTTGAGTGTGGCTCTTCCTAAGCCTTAGGAGTATCCTAATTAAGTTAACAACAATGTACCTATCTATATAGTTTTAAGTTTAAAAAATTTGGCTCTCAAAAGAAATTTCAGTCGTTGTACTGTTGATATTTAGCTTCGTTGACTAATGAGTTTGCCGACCACTGAGGGCTGAGCCAGTAAGAAAGCAAGAGTCTCTCCAGTCGCAGCCTGACAGGCACGCAGTCTGAGGGCTGTGTTGGGGGCCTAAGCCTGTGCCCAGGGCTGTGCAGGGAAGAATGAGACTTGAGGAGGGGCAGGGCCTCGGGCTTGCCTACAGACTGGTGTGCACCTCTCAGCCTCAGAGAGTCAGCAACGGAGGCGTTGGCAGAGCTGGGGACACAGGGACTGCTGGCCGGGGATACCTTCCTTCTTCTCAGAGCCACTTCACCGCTGCCTGCGTCCACCTCCATCTCACCCAGAACTGAAGATTCTCTGGTCCCACATCACTAAGCAAACACATCAGAGAGGCACCAGCTCACAAGTGAGGTCAGGAAAAGTGGGTGTAGGCACACACGAGTGCACACACATGCACACACGTGCACACGGCCCAGCCCAGCAGTGTGGGGACATTGCTGGCACACCGGGAACTCCAAGCCCAGAGTCCTCTTCCCTTGCCACCCCCCCACCCCCCACTGAGAGACCCAAAGACAGAACTGGCCCAAGGACAGGACACGGGTGAAGCAGGGGACCCTGAGGAATCCATGGCCTGGCCCCCCAGCCCCTGAATTATCCATCACTTTATTGTTTAAAGCAAGAAGGTGGTCATAAGACCTTCCTTGGGCCAACACAGCAGGACTTTTAAAACTCAGGCTCCCGTGTAGAGGCGAGTGGTGTGGTTAAGGCAGCTTAAAAGTATTCTGTGCTTCCTGGAGGTGCCTTCTGGTCTCATTGCATCTTTCTTCAATGTGTGTCTCAACTTTCTTTTTAAATCTTTAATCAGCTAAAGGCTGGAGAGAACTCCAGAGGAGAAGTGCCATGAGTCCAGCTCTGTGAGCTTGATCCAAAGTGATCATCATCCCATGCACCAAAAGGTTGCAAGTTGGATTCCTGGCCAGGGTACATGCCTAGGTTTCAGGTTTGATCCCCAGTCAGGGCACATACGGAAAGCAACCAATCAATATTCTCTCTCACATCGATGTCTCTCTCTCTCAAATCAGTAAGCATATCCTCGGTGAGGGTTCTTTAAAAAATGGTCCCCCAAGAGAAGAGGGAAAGATGAGAGATGAGGCATATGTTGAGGTGCATCCAACTTCAGCCTGAAGGAGTGAGGGGCCTGGCATCAAAAGTTCCCAAGGACCCCCCCAGAGAAGGCGTCCAATTCACACAGGCGCACCTCTGTCCTGCCCAGGCCCGTCCTCCCGGCACATCTGCAGCCCCTCCCAGTCACTTTCCCAAGGACATGCAACCCTGGCTGGTGCTTAAATGATGATCATTCGATGTCGGAAACCTGCAAAGGGGAGCGGGAATGGGGTTTAAATTATTCACACCAGCTCTTCTCTTTTAGGGAAGGCTGTGTGAGAAAGCGGATAGGTTGGGCCGGCTACGCCTAAGGCCGATGACCAGGACAGATGCCGCCCTGATCAAAAGAAAGGGATATTTTTAGGGTTTTGAATATGGGCTCCGAAAACTGTTGTATCTGAAGCCAGATGAAGATCATGATCGACGGCCCAGGCTAACCTGGGTCTCTGTCAGGGGCTCTTTTATATTTATGGGACTGGTTAGGAAGTAAGAAGTTCTAGAACCAATTTCTGAAAATGAGGGGACCGCAAATTGCAATACTTCCATCCAGTACGTGCAGACTTAGTTCAGGGCAGTAAGGTCCTGACTCAAGGACTAGGGCTCTGGGACCGCAGGGCAGTCACGCGGCCACCCCCGGCCCCCTTGCATCCCCGTCTTTATGTGGGTGAGGGGTGAGGATGAGGAGGAAGGACTTTAGGTCTTAGGAGACGAATCACATTATGTAAAGATCATAAAATGTGGCTATAACTATATTTATGTCTCCAGCACAATGACCAAGCCTCTTTGAGAAGGAACCTAAACAAATAGCTATTTGTAGGCTTTTACTCCCTGGGTCCTCACAGCTCCTTAGCCAGAGACAGAAAGAGACTTGCCGAAGCTCGTGGCCGGGGGCTGGCAGAGCCAGTGGACACCCAAGGCTCGCTCCAAGGCTTTCTGCTGCCCCAGGCTGTCCCACCCCCACCCCGCCCCCCTCTGCCTCCCACACGGGGAACGGGATTCACCTTTCTCATGACTCAGGACCCATGGTCTGCCTGCCAGCGGAACACTGAAGCACTGAGGTGAGAGCTGGAGGTCAGTGCCCTGGCTGCCTGCCACCACATTCGCTCAGAAGGGGAGGTCAAGCCTCCGGGTGCTGGCAGTGAGGCAGAAATCGGCTCTGCTACGCACGGCGGAGTGTTTGCACCTAGTGGGGCCAAGTTCAGCTCAATGTATGTGTGGGTATCACCCACAGGGGCTTGCTGTCTCCCCACTCCCAACCAGGGCCCTGAGCAAGTCTCAGAGCACGGCTGAGCCAGGAGGGACAGAGAGCGTGTGTCTGTGTCTGTGTCTGTGTCTGTGTTGCAGGAAGGCAGGGGATGGTGGGCTTACATCTCCAATCCTAGAGTTTGTTTTTCTGTCCCTCAGCCTTTCCATCCTCCAGCTTCCTTTCCTTGGCAGATTCTGGGTTCAACCGTGTAACTGGAAAGAGACAAGCTCCAGTCCCTGTCGCCTAATGAGGCACAGTGATCGGTACTCTC